TGAGATCTCAACATGTGCACGCGTGTAGACCAAAACTGCATAGAAAACTGCAAGACACCGACGGAATCAGGCTTCTCCGCAAGCGCTCGGTCGAAGCGTTGACGAAGGGCTGGATTTGAATTGAGAAGCGACATCTGAAGCGTTGTATCCGCAAGCAGCTTCGCGTCATCGTAGTTTGCCTCGTTGTCTTTGCCACCAGCAGTCACAGTCTGCGCCATAGCGATGGCAGCTGAGGCGCTGCTGTCCCCACCATCCTTGCTACCAGCAGCAGGAGCCGGAGACGGAGCGCTCTGCTGTTTGGAGGCCTCGATCCATTTGCGCAATAGACTGGTTATGTTCTGCTGGTCGTCGCGAGCGGTAGCGGAGGTGAATGTAAGGGTGTGGTTGCCAGCTAGGGGCGCTGGCTCGGGTACGACGATTTTTATGGAGGCCTTGGCAGCGGTCGCGGGCGTCTGTTGGAGGTCTAGAGAGTGTCAGTGGTGTATAGCGTCTTTCTCGTGAGGCCTCGACGTACTGCCTATATCTGCTATGGCTATGGACCACGGAGCAGGCGCATTGGCCGCGCCACTGGTCGACTTCCAGGACACCGTCTTGCCATCCGCAGACACGGCGACCCTGCCGTTATCCTTCTTGTACTGGGCAGCGGCGTCGGCCATGATGGCGGGGTGTAATGTCGCGACGATCAGTGAGGCGTGCCTGGCTTGAGGCTGACGCGGTGCTAGCTTGTCTGGGCTTCCCCAGATTCACGCGTCGCACGTGACTACGCATTAGCGAACGGCATGGCAGCCGCTGAGGCTCAGGCAAGGCTGTACCCTACTCCAAAACTCAATTCGACGTTCAGCTGGAATGCATCTTTTGTTTGATGGGTTTGGCTATGTGGCCTCTTCATCTCCTCGCCCACTTCAGAACGCGTGTCTGCAAACATGGCGCATGGCTCGCATCAGCCAAGAGAAGTAACACATCAGGCGCAACGGATACATATCCGTGCCATGCAGCGTCAGAAGCCGTCAGAGGCTGCATGCGAGTTACATAAGGCCTGCCCTGCTATTGGCTGGTGGTGCGAGAACACTGGATGAGCGACCACTTCGTCATATCGCAGCGCCGCCGGGACCAGCAAAGAGTACCACTGCAAGCCTGCACAGGTCTGCAGACTATATTTGGAGAACAACAAGCAAACGAGAAGATGCGGTGTTCATATAGACTTCACGGTGTTCGGTCGCTCCCTTGAATGTGGTGGGTGGTGACCGGTCAGAAATCCCGCGATCCATGATACGCGCTAGGCCGGAACACGGGGCCTGTCCTGGCTGCATCAACTTCTACTGCGTGCGACGCTTAACTTCGACTGCACATTGCTACAGCTGAGGCTTTTCTTCTTCTCATCGTCGTCCGTTTGGATGTCACCCATCCCTACCTCCGCTTTGTTAATCTAATCCCCGTCATGTTGCGCAACACCCTGCGCCAGTGCTGCTCCCGCCAGCTCCAGTGCGCCCCGGCGAGAGCATCCTTCTCGAGCCTCGCACAGCCCTCTCGAACCGCTCTCTCGACATGTCGCCGCCCGCTCGCCGTGACGCAGCGCCGCCAGTATGCCGTGTCGTCGGAAGACACCAACAAGGGCGTTGTGCGTGCCTCCCAGCCAGACCCTCAAACTCTTCGACCCATAGCTAACAATGACGGCATAGGACCCCAACGACTCGTTCCTCCAGGGCAACACGGCCAACTACATCGATGCCATGTACATGCAGTGGAAGCAGGACCCCGCCAGCGTCCACTACTCATGGCAGGTCTACTTCCACAACATGGAGTCCGGCGACATGCCCGTGTCGCAAGCCTTCCAACCGCCGCCAAACATCATGAGCTCGCCCCAGGGCGGCGCCGCGAACAGGCCCGGCATGGGCATGGCTTCCGCCGAGGGTACCGACGTCATGAACCATCTCAAGGTGCAACTGCTCGTCCGAGCCTACCAGGCCCGCGGTCACCACAAGGCCAAGATCGACCCGCTGGGCATCCGCTCCGAAGCTGAGCAGTTCGGATACAGCAAGCCGCGCGAACTCGAACTGTCACATTACAACTTCACCGAGAAGGACCTGGAACAAGAGATTGAATTGGGTCCTGGTATCCTCCCACGCTTCAAGACCGAGTCCCGCAAGAAGATGAAGTTGAAGGAGATCATCGACGCCTGCGAACGCCTCTACTGCGGCTCTTACGGAGTCGAATACATCCACATCCCGGATAGGGAGCAGTGCGACTGGCTTCGTGAGCGCATCGAGGTCCCCACACCTTTCAAGTACTCCGTCGACGAGAAGCGCCGCATTCTGGACCGCCTGATCTGGGGTACCAACTTCGAAGCTTTCCTGGCCACCAAATACCCCAACGACAAGCGATTCGGTCTTGAGGGAGGTGAGAGTTTGATTCCCGGAATGAAGGCCCTCATCGACCGAAGTGTCGATTTTGGTGTCAAGGACATCGTCATTGGCATGCCGCATCGTGGTCGTCTCAACGTGCTCTCCAATGTCGTCCGAAAGCCCAACGAGTCCATCTTCAGTGAATTTGCCGGTACTGCCGAGGCCAACGAAGAGGGCTCTGGTGACGTCAAATACCACTTGGGCATGAACTTCGAGCGCCCCACCCCATCCGGAAAGCGCGTACAGCTGTCTCTTGTCGCCAACCCGTCCCATCTCGAGGCCGAAGACCCCGTCGTACTAGGAAAGACCCGCGCCATTCTGCACTACAACAATGACGAGAAGGAAGGTTCCAGCGCCATGGGTCTGCTCTTGCACGGTGACGCCGCTTTCGCCGGTCAGGGTATAGTATACGAGACTATGGGCTTCCACCAGCTCCCCAGCTACCACACTGGCGGTACTATTCACATCATCGTGAACAACCAGATTGGTTTCACTACGGATCCTAGGTTCTCCCGTTCGACTCCTTACTGCTCTGATATCGCCAAGGCAATTGATGCGCCCGTTTTCCACGTTAACGGTGACGATGTCGAGGCCCTCAACTTCGTCTGCCAGTTGGCAGCTGACTTCCGCGCCGAGTTCAAGAAGGATGTGGTTATCGACATGGTTTGCTACCGAAAGCAGGGTCACAACGAGACTGACCAGCCCTTCTTCACCCAGCCTCTCATGTACAAGAAGATCTCAGAACAACCCCAAACACTGGACATCTACACCAAGAAGCTGCTCGACGAGAAGACCTTCACCAAGGAGGACATTGACGAGCACAAGGCTTGGGTCTGGGGTATGCTAGATGAGAGCTTCAACCGCAGCAAGGACTACGTACCAAACTCCAAGGAATGGCTTACTTCGGCCTGGAACGGCTTCAAGTCGCCCAAGGAGCTTGCGGAAGAGGTCCTGCCCCATCTGCCAACCGCCATCGAGGAGACTCAACTGAAGCACATTGCTGAGAAGATCGGCGGCGCGCCGGAGGACTTCAATGTACACAAGAACTTGAAGCGTATCTTGGCTGGCCGCACCAAGACTGTCATGGACGGCAAGAACATCGACATGGCTACCGCGGAAGCCTTGGCATTCGGAAGTCTGTGCATGGAAGGCCACCACGTCCGTGTCTCCGGACAGGATGTCGAGCGTGGAACTTTCTCTCAGCGCCATGCCGTGCTCCACGACCAGGAAACTGAGAAGACATACACACCTCTCCAGAACCTTGCCGAGGACCAAGCAACATTCACCATCTCCAACTCTTCGCTCAGCGAATACGGAGTGTAAGTTCATGCTGTTTCGATGTATTTTGCCGTAACTAATCACCTGTAGGCTTGGCTTCGAATACGGATACTCGCTATCATCACCCAACGCCCTCGTCATGTGGGAGGCTCAGTTCGGTGACTTCGCCAACACTGCCCAGGTCATCATCGATCAGTTCATTGCCTCTGGTGAAGTCAAGTGGCTTCAACGTTCCGGCCTCGTCATGAGCTTGCCCCACGGTTACGACGGTCAAGGTCCCGAGCACTCTTCTGGACGTATGGAACGCTACCTGCAGCTCTGCAACGAGGATCCCCGTATCTTCCCCTCGCCCGACAAGCTCGACCGTCAGCACCAGGACTGCAACATCCAGATTGCCTACACAACGAAGCCGTCTAACCTCTTCCATCTCCTCCGTCGCCAGATGAACCGTCAGTTCCGCAAGCCTCTCATCCTCTTCTTCTCCAAGTCGCTACTCCGTCACCCACTCGCTCGCTCCAACATTGAGGAGTTCACTGGCGACTCTCACTTCCAATGGATCATCGAAGACCCCGCGCACGCTAGCGGCGAGATTGAGTCGCATGAGGGCATCAACCGTGTCATCCTCTGCACAGGTCAGGTATACGCTGCGCTTGTTAAGGAGCGTGAGGCCCGCGGTGAGAAGGACGTTGCCATCACTCGTATCGAGCAGCTCAACCCCTTCCCCTGGCAACAACTGAAGGACAACCTGGACTCGTACCCCAACGCCCAGAACATCATCTGGTGCCAGGAAGAGCCCCTGAACGCCGGTGCCTGGTCATTCACCCAGCCCAGAATCGAGACTCTGCTCAACCAAACCGAGCACCACAACAGGCGTCACGTCATGTACGCTGGCCGCAACCCTAGTGCGTCGGTGGCCACTGGACTTAAGGTGTCACACAAGAACGAAGAGAAGGCCCTATTAGATATGGCTTTCACCGTAAAGCAGGACCACTTGAAGGGCGAGTGAACGCTGGATGAGGCGTGGAAAGGGCTAGTTGGTCATTGATTGCATTACTTTATTCCCATGATATGTATGTTTACAGCGTGTAGTCTCGTGTGCTGTCGTGGAAGCTAGATGTACTTCAATGACAGTCTGAACAAAACTTCTTTACTTCATACATTATCTTGCCGTCTACATGCCTTTCTGTGATTTTGGGTCGTATGTTTAACAAGATGCTCAGCTCTTTAGGCATGTATCATTGCATCCTATATGAACTTATGCTCACTCATAACCTACTGGGTATATACAGGCTGTACCCGGAAACAACTTCTACCACAACCTCAAGTAAGCAAATGCGGATTCCCCTGATACACAAAACTCGGCTTCCTGCGCGCCTTCAGCTCAGACCTCTCTCCGTCATCCCAGCCATCCCAAACGTTCGCCTCCTGCGGGCCTTCAACCTCACGGATATAGCCCAACGCACAGTCCTCGAATTGGACCTTAGGTTGCGCTGCGTAGAAAGTATCATAGCGATGTGACAAAGCTTGCTTGAGCGATCGGACCTTCCTGCCACTACCGTGTAGCACGCCCCAGGGATCTCTGCACGCTTCGCCCTTGCATGATTTAAGTACCATCATCAATGCGTCGATACGGTCGATGATGGCGGTGAAGGGGCGGCCTGCGATACGGTAGGTGTCACGTTTCGCTATGAGGTCCGCGTCTTCGTCGTCGAAGTAGTTTTCCAGCTGACCTGGGTCGAAGCGCATGTCGTAGTACTCCTTGTCGCCCGTACAGAAGACGGAGTAGTAGATGTTGTAGTCCTCACCGATGAGGCGAAGGCCTTTGTAGGTGTTGTTACGGATAGAGTGGAGGTAGCCACCCCAGTTTTGGTCGGGCGGATGATTCTCTTTCACCGGGTTGTCGTAGTGGCCCCATATGCCTTCGGGGATGGCTCGGCCCCAGTACTCGATGTTGATGTGTTCTTGACGTTCTGCAGATTCGGCAAGAAGGGTGTCTTCTTGTGACAGAGGCATGACGGAGCCATCGAAGTCTTCACGCAGACTCTGACCGGCGAGCTTCATGATGGTAGGGGCGAGATCGGTGTGGGAGCTGACAATGTCGGTGGTGTGGCCCTTCATTACACCAGGTCCACGCACGATGAGGGGAATGTGGATGTCGGTCTCGTAGCCACACTCCTTGCCAGCATGCAGGCGATGCTGACTTAGGTGGTACCCGTTGTCAGTGGTGTAGATGATGTATGTGTCTTCAAGAAGGCCCTTGTGCTCGAGAGTCTTCACAAGTTGCTCCACCATCTCGTCTACTGACTGAAGGGCACGAAGGCGGGAGCGTTGGAATTCGTCGTTATAGTCAATGACTGTGTCGTTGAGAAGTGGAAGTCTCTTGACCCATCCTGTGCCGCCCTGCTTCTTGGGATTGAAGTTGGCGTCGCGTGGGATCTTGTATTCGGTAAAGAGATGAGCATGTCGCTCTGCGTATTGAGGCAAATCCGCACTATACTCTTCGGTAGGCACAAGCTTCACGTTGCTATGGGGCGCGATAGGTGCAATGGTAAGGAACCAAGGCTCAGGGTGTTGCGTTGCCTCCTCGAGAAAGCCATACGCCTTCTCTGCAGTCACATCAGGCGAGTATTGACCCTTGTAGCTTATGGGTGGTCCACCGTTACGACTCATGTGCGCGTTGTAGTATTCGTACGTATAGGGGTCGAGGATGAAGTCGGAACCGTTGTATCCGCCGGCGTAGGGTGCGTTGTAATTGTCAACAGAGTGGTGGTTCCACAGCTTGCCAGAGTAGTATGTGTTGTAGCCAGCATTCTGCATCCATACTGGGAGGTAGTCATCGTTGATGCCTTCGCGAACGACCTTTGGGTAGCCACCTGAGACGTGTTAATGAGGCTGGCATAATACGCGGAGGTGACTGCTAACCGTAAGGGGCAAAGACGTCAGTCACGTTGGTGTTGTGGGCAGCTCTGCCAGTCCAGAGGTTTACGCGGGAAGGGCAACACAGCGCAACCGTACAGAAATGGTTCGCATACAGTGTGCCTTCATGGAGTAGATACTTTTGCAAGAATGGCATGTGCTCCTGTTCTTTGTAAGCTATTGTTACCTCAGATAACCCGAGATGTACGAACCAATGACTTCATGTGCCAATCTTGATCATCTGTCAAGATGAAGAGGATATTTGGCTGCTTCGCTGCTGCGCAGTGCAGTGCCGACGAGAGCACTGCATAATGGAACAACTTGAGGAGCTTCATGGTCGCAGGCCGTTATCGAAGCTGACAACTGAACCGGGTGAAATGTGCCCTTATAAGGCATCATACGGTTAAACGCGCTCTCCCCGCGTCCAAACAGAGCCATGTTCAGGGTCGATGTTACCGCGTCGATACTGGGCTTGAAGACGAGGCCGGCGCCGTGACGCGTGAGTGCAGGACGCGGCCCCGGGGGTGGAGTTCATGGGTCGATGCATTGTCACGTAGCGCGACGCTAAACCTCGAGCACGAGCCTCACCCCACACCTGGCACCAGCCATCGCGGGAAATGTCTCCCTCGTGCTATCGTCTCCGCATTGCGTGCCCGGCTACGACGCAGCAAGCCGCGAACGCCAATCCTCTCGCGGCGATTCCTAACACGTCGCCGAGAATGCCGGCGCGCTCCTCCCATGGCTTCTCCACGTGGAAACTTCGTCACCGACGAGACACGCAGCCATGGACAGGACAGTGGCAAATATGAGTACCGAACAATTGTACCGAAAGAGGACATTCGACAGACTTAACCAAAGAGCTGCGAGAGCGCGGAAGAAGTCGCGTATAGCAGAGCTAGAAGAAGAGGTCGCTGATCTGAAGCGGCGCCTTACGCGCTCGGAAGGCCTCGTCAAACAGCTGCAGAACAATGAAACATGCCTTCGAGAGATCATCAATTCGGCGCGAGTGTCCCTTCAGATGGTCGATCACCACACAGTCTCACCATTTGATAGAGATGCGTCCTCACCATCGACTGGAGCAGTCCCAGACCCCTCCTCTGCTGAGGCCGGGCTCGACTTGTCGCAAACCTCAAGATCTCCCCCCACTAGTATTGGGGCCAATACGACGTTGAACTTCGCATCGCATTCACTATCTGCTGGCCTGAGCGATGGCTCAGCGACTATCGATGCTTCAGCTTACGGCGCAACGTCCACCGAGGGCGTGCTTTTGAGAGATGCAGATACTGGGCTGAGCCTAGAGCTGCCTATCAGTGCGGACGAGTCTCTTTTCAATATGTGGGATGGCACTTCGAGTAAGTCTCGCTATCGTGGACTGATCGGATATCAGCTAAATCCTTAGTCCTGGAACCAGACGCGAACAATACATACTCATTATCACTATTTGGCGCGAATGCAGCCCAGGACGGTGTCGGCATCCCAGGGGATTGGCCTTTCGCACCAGAGCTCCCGTTGTTAGACGTGGCTGGCACATCTTCACAGCCTCCGCCGTGGGAGCGACTGCCGCTTCATGCATCCGCCACCTGTCGGCTCGATTCTGTATTGCTGGAGATCATTGTTACCAGCCGTCAGCACGTGCAATCTTCTGGGCAGCTTCCAGAAAAGTCTTTCCCTAGCGTTCGGTCGTTGCTCAACCCTGCTACCCGCAATTCGCAGAATCCGATTTCGGATGCTCTAGGTCAGCACGGTAAGATAAGTATGGCAGTCAAGGGCTCAGCCGAAAGGGTTGCGTGTTTGTATTATATGAGCCTGTTGCTACGCTGGCTCATATCCCCCACAAAGCGCAATTATGAAGCCATGCCAGACTTCTTGAGGCCTGTAGAAGCCCAGCTAACAATACCCCATCCGATTTGGGTTGATACGATAGTTTGGTAAGCTTACGGTCAAAGGTTGAGTACCACTACTGACGATATAGTTGAAGGCCTGAAGCACGGAAGCGCATACTCCAGTATATGGACTTGTCTGAGGGGCGGGAGTTCTCCAAGCTACGGGAGATCACGGGCAATTCGCTGTCAATCCATTGGCCTCACGACATATCTAGTATCCTCATTGTCGCATCGAACAGTGAGCTGCAGCTCAATCCGGACTTCGAAAGTCACGTCCGGCAGCTGAAGCACTGGACAGTCGGGCCCGACCTGGTGGAAACATTCCCATACTTGGACTGCATTCCGACGACGCCTTGATCACGCATGCGTCGAATGACTTGGTCAGCGCCGCAGCTGATGCAAGACTTCATTGTACTATACGGTGTTTGTTGATCGTTTGTAGCAATTCGGGCTATATGTCCCGGCTACACCATTCCACCACAGGCTGCCCATGGGTGACGTCAAACACCTTGCGCCATCCAAGTTATTGACTCTCACGCGTAAAGAAATGGGGGCAAGATACGTTGTCTACTCGGCCGAGTTTGCTTTCAACAGGTTCCTCTCCTTCGTGACAAGTGCGATGGAAAATGCGATGACGGAGGCGACTAGCCCAAGCACTGTCGCAAGTTAGCAAAGTCAGGCCTCGAATTTTCTTGACTTACCGAATACTTGCTGCGTGGCGTGTATATATGCCGGCATTAGCAGCTCGCGAAGACCGTCGCCCACATGCTGAATGTAGGCGATATCAGAGGTCGCCTTCTCGACTATCTCGGATGCGTCATTCCTTCCCTCCAGGGCATGATTCAGGCCCATCTGCAAAACGATTTGAAAGGCTGCAGCAGCCCCGCTCACGCCCGTAACGCCCCCCACGTTACCACTCAGGTACAAGCCAGAGCCAGCAATGGCTACGTCGTCCTTCGCCACTGCGGATGTCAATCCAACGAACACGGCCGAATGAGCCATGCCTGTTGCAAAGCCGGCGGGGAATATTAGGAGGGATCCCCAGACTGTGGTATGCCCACGCCAGAATAAGAGCAAAAGAATGAAAGACAACGCTGAGCTGGCACTCGCGAGTATGGTAGGAGCTTTGTAACTTCCGGTCCTGGTTTGTGTTAGCTCGCCATCCCAGATACGTGAACGGAGGACCGTACCGCTTGATCCATGCCCCCGTCAGGAGGCCACCGACTGTATTTCCAACCACAGAGGGTATGAGGTAGGCGCCGGCTTCGCCAGTCGATGCATTATTGGTGACCTGGAAGTAGATGGGGATAATGAACATTAGCTTGGCACTAAGTTAGCCTTTCATCTTTCAGCTACAATTGCTGGGTCTTACTGCGGTCTGAGAAAAGTTCTGCAGGAGAAGGATTCCATAAGACGTGCCAACAACGTAGCGGGTGAGTAGTTGGACAGGAAAGATTGACTCTTTCGCGAAGTACCGTTCGTATACGACAAACGTTCCAGCACCGATAACAGCAACGCAAGCGGATGTGATGATGACGGGGTGGTTCCAATCGTATTTCTGTCCGCCAGTGTCCAGGACGAATAGCGCAGTGAAGATGGTTATACTCATGCATACCGCTCCGATGAAGTCGATACGTCGTAACTTGTCGCGAGTGGATTCACAGTGCCCAGGTTTGAAAGTCTTCTGTGGAACGTCCAATTTCCACTGGACTAAGACAATCGAAAGAATGACTGGAGGAACTTGTGCCAAGAAGGCCCTGCGGCATCCATCAGTAACTTGTGTGCGTAACGAAAGAACTGCCATCTAAGGACTTACCAGCGCCAGCCAATCGTGGAAGCAAGAAACCCCCCAATTACGCCGCCACAGCTTCTTCCAACTGTCTGCACCACATTGACATAGCTTCGGTATAGCGCGACTTCGTGGAAGGGCAGCAGATCAGTCAACAAGATCGACACCATGCACACCATTCCAGCGCCCCCAGCACCCTGAATTGTACGAGCAGCGATGATCTGAGCCATTGACCGGCCCAGTCCCGAACCGAGCGTTCCAATTGCGAAGAGGACGTAGGCCACCTGCAAACACGACTTTCGCCCAAAGATGTCGCTCAGCTTTCCGAAGAGTGGTTGCGATATACACATGGCCAGCATGTAGCTTGACAGGAGCCAAGAGCCGCTCTCGAGGTCATGAAATTCGGACGAGATCTTGCCATACGTGGCTAACACTAGCGATGTGTCCGCTTGGGAGATGAAGACACCTGCTACGATCAGCGGAGGGCTGTGTCGACAGAGTAAAGGCACCCACCGATCAACAAGATAGAAATGGTTGTCACCAGCGATCGTTTCGGCGTTGAGTGGTCTTTCGCGGACCCATCTCCTCGCTCAGGATCCTGCGAAGCGCCATTGACTGCCTACAAAAACTTAGCTAACAAAAAAGGTAATTTTGGGATGAGAGAAGCTCACCTCGTATGATGATGTCAGTTCAGGAAACAAGGGTGTCGCTTCGTCGACTTCTTGAACAGCCGTCTGTGCATCCCATCCTGGTTTGACGGGGCTTCGCTGACGATTTACCATATTGTGTGAAATTTGGAGGTGTACGACTTCGAAGACAACGTAAGGTCGTGATCAATTTCGAAGCGACTCTGAGCTGGCTTAAACTCAGGATAGACTTGACTGCCCAGATACATCTCCACTTCAACGGTGCACGCTCGGATCGACATGGACTCTGCAATGCAGTGTCATGCAAGTCGATTACGCGGAGTTGCGGCACGACTGACATCGTTTGAACAACGATATCCGTATTCGTTTCATCCAATCGAAAGTATACGGTCGCATATCGGCTTCCGCGAAATCGCTATAACCGCAAACGACATGGTGCCGCTAGCATGACCTTGCATTAGCGCCCGCTTTCGTACGCTACCACACTGACATTGCATATCGCATCATGAACGGCGTGAGAACTACCATTCGCGCGGCGATACCCCGCAATGCTTGTCTATGTACTCTGATCACAGTCACATAGCACAGTCTTGTTCTCGAATCATCAGACTCTACGAATCTCATGGCGTGTGCTGAGCTGAAAACGGTGGCTTCGGAGAAATGTATCCACTCCCGTAATTCTCAACACAGATCGCGACATTCGCAGCCACAAAGTCGGGAAGGACGGGACTGTGTGATCCGTGTATGAATCAAGTCTTATCCCACACCATAAGTATTGCTATCAATGCTGTATCCACTTCCGACATATGTCCGGTTCAACAACAACTGGGGCCACAACAGCTATCAGAATGGCCGCAACCGATAAGTCAACTCCCGATATCTCTACGGTTGAGGACATTTCGAGCATACCTCTCCAAAACATGAAGGACGAAGACAAGATCCAGACTGACGCCGATGGCTTCGCTGGCGATGTGGAGAATCTGCCGAAGGGGTACTATCTCAGTTCCTTCTTCCTTGGTACATGTTGCGCCGTGGGCTTTGGTGCTTGGGCTGGCAATGCTGGTAAGTCCGCTACTTGATGAATCACATGAGAAAATGCCTAACGATCGCAATACAGGCTTTGCATATGCTGCACCTATTTTGGGAACTATCAACGCGGATATTGGACCAGATCCTAACATCCAGTGGGTGGCACTGGTGCATCCAGTTGGACTGTCCGTAGGTATGGTGCGTACAAAGACCAATCTCGACTTCCACTCGTTCATCACTGACTTCGACCAGACCATCATAGGAAGACTGAGCGACATCTTCGGCCGTCGTTATTTCTTCATCGTGGGGGCATTCCTCGCTATGATCGGAACACTGATCAGTGCTCTCGCCATTAACGTCAACATGTTGATCGTTGGATCCATGATCAAGGCCCTCGCCGCTGCGACGCAACTATCCTGCTACTACACCATCGGCGAACTCATTCCATCCAAGTACCGATATCTCATGATTGGCGCAATCAACGTCTGGAACCTACCTGGGCAGGGTTTCGCCCCCGTCGTTGCGCAGAGCCTAGTTGCGACTCGCGTTGGTTGGCGAGCTGTATACTTCTTACTCACTGCCGTCAACGGAGCGTCTTTGATCTGCTACTGCGTATTTTACCATCCTCCCAACTTCCACCAGAAGCATGGTCAGAGGGAGAAGAAGATGGATTTCGTTAAGAAGTTCGACTACGTTGGCACGTTGCTCTATGCCGCTGGCCTTACTATGTTCTTGCTTGGTCTTTCGTGGGGCGGCACCAAGTATAGCTGGACGTCAGCTGAAGTGCTATCTTTCATTCTCATCGGCTTCGGCTGTCTTGTTGCTTTTGTATGCTGGGAACTCTTCATGGATCTTAAGGAGCCTTTGGTTCCTATGAGTCTCTTTCGCCATCGCCCATGGGTCGTATCGGCAATACTCACGGGTATTGGGGCTGGAGTATACTATGCCGGTGCAAGTAAGTGTCTATCATTGAGTCCTGCTAGGAAGCCGCTAATCTTCTGCAGTCATTTGGCCTCAGATTACACAGAATTTCTACGCCAACGGCGACCTTATGCATGCCGCGTTCCTTTCCTCGTTAGCCAATTTAGGTATTCTGATAGGCGGTTTCGTGGGAGGATGTCTGGCTGGACCGATCGGTTATCAAAATTGGCAGATTACCGTGGCTATGGCTATAGGTGGCGGACTTCTTGCGTGTAAGCTTTGCTCTGTTCCGGTACCTACCCTCTTAACACGTACTAACGGAGGCAACAGCTGTGTCAACAGCAAACCCAAGCAACCAAGCCCAATCTTCTGCGCTAATCTTCTTTTCTGCCATGATGATGGGTTACGTCGCGGACATCGCCCTCGGAAACGCGATTCTCACGATAACCGATCAACGAGAGATTGGCGCTGCTGGCGGTGCTGCTGCATCAGTACGCACCGCTGTCGCGGGTACATGTCAAGCAGTCTACAACGTCGTCCTGGCGAACAGGCGCTCGACGACGGTATCTGCTGCAGTAGTACCCGCCGTGTTGGGCGCTGGCTTGCCTAAAGATAGCACTGCTTCGATCCTCTCAGCCTTGTCGTTGGGAACGCCTGCGGCATGGTCCGCGGTAAAAGGACTAACCCCTGAGATTAGAGCAGTTGCGGTATCGGCCTATCATTCGGGCCTGTCACAAGCTTTCAAGACAGTTTATCTGGTGTCTTTAGCTTTTACTGGACTGGGCATATTGTTGTCGCTGCTTGCGCCGAACACGAGTAAATTGTTGACTGAGAAAGTCGCGGTTTCTCTCCAGACGCGGAAGCCCAAAGAGGAAAACGCAGCATAGCGCAATTAAACCACGAATAGTCTTCAGAAGCACGGGAGTATATAGCACGAGCGTGATGGTGATGTCTCCCCGTCCGCGGTCCGGAAGAAGTCGGGCAAACGTCAGCGCCTCAGTCGCGCCCCGCCAACCCCTCGTGCCCCTCCACTTTTCCGTCTCCGCACCTGCATCATAGCCTGCCACCCACGCGCTCCCGCAACAAAGCGCGTCAATTCCCGCAACACTCTGGATGCCGTCCTCAGCTCGCGGGCCAGAACCATGTCGAGCATCGCGCTCGGGAATTTTTCCACAAAATTCGGGCTTGTTCCGGAGAAACTGGCGCAGTGACACGCGCTGACCGCCGCCCCGGCTGAAGCATCGTGAGCTGCCAGTGACGTCCGGCCAGTTGCCGAGGGCTATAGCTTCCCAGTGGCCTGCCAAACAAATGCCACAGAAGTGTGGTCCGCCTGCCCGACTCTACCCACCCTGACTTCATAACGATAGCCAGCTCCGCTTTTCGCTGAACTCTGAGCTTGATAGCTTTTTCACCATCCCTCTCTCCAAATTTCCCCATTCCCCATACTGCTTTCCCATCTTCCCTTCCACCGCTGATACCAAGTCGTCTTGTCGCTTCGTTCGTCCCTACTGATACACCTTGTAAATTCAACTCTACCAAAAGTTTACACCATGGCTTCCAACGGTAACGAGGGAGGCCCAGTTGCACAGGAGAAGATCAACACCGATATCATCACTCTCACGCGATTCCTCACTGAAGAGCAGACCAAGTACGCGGAGGCAACAGGAGACTTCACGTAAGTGCCAAAATCAGAGCATTCAGAGCAGAGAACTTACCATTCCCACCAGACTACTATGCCACGCACTGCAATTCGCCTTCAAGAGCATTGCCTACTACATCCGGAGAGCAACACTCATCAACGTATGCAACTTATCAAAAGTCAGACGAAACCTCAACTAACACCCCCAGCTCACCGGCCTCCAAGGCACATCCAACACAACCGGCGACGACCAAAAGAAACTCGATGTAATCGGCGATGAGCTCTTCATCTCCGCCATGCGCTCCTCGGGCCGCGTGCGCCTCCTAATCTCGGAAGAGCAAGAAGAAGCCATCGTCTTCAACGAGCACCCCAACGCGCGCTACGCCGTGGCCTGCGACCCCATCGACGGATCCTCTAACCTCGACGCCGGAGTCGCCGTCGGCACCATCTTCGCCGTGTACAAACTACCCGAGGGCGCCAAGGGCACAAAAGAAGAGATGCTTCTACCCGGCACCGAGATGGTTGCTTCAGGCTTCACCATGTACGGCGCGTCCGCACAGTTGGTGCTTACAATGAAGGGCGGAAACGTCAATGGCTTTACGCTCGACAACGCGTTTGGCGAGTTCATCCTCACACATCCGGACATGCGCGTACCCAAGACGAGGAGTATTTACTCCGTCAACGAGGGTAACAGCATGTACTGGGAAGAGCCTGTTAAGCAGTGGTGTGAGAGTTTGAAGAACCCCGCTGAGGGACAGAAGCCGTACAGCGCGAGGTACATTGGTTCCATGGTGGCGGATGCGTATCGCACGCTGCTTTATGGTGGTATCTTTGCGTACCCAGCGGATAAGAAGACGCCAAAGGGCAAGTTGAGGATTCTTTATGAGTGTGCGCCAATGGCTATGGTTTTTGAGAATGGTATGTTCACTCCTTTCTTCCTATCCCAATGTACTCCTGCTAACTTTCTTGCTTGTAGCTGGCGGTTTGGCGGTAAACAGCAAGATGGACCGTATGCTCGAGGTCGTCCCCGAACACATCCACGACCGATCGGGTATCTTCCTCGGCTCGGAAGGCGAGGTCCAAAAGGTCATCGATGCGCACAAGAACTACAAGAAATAGGCGTCTGTGGATAGCTTGGAACGTGGGATGGCATATAATTGGGCTATCACGGGCATATAAGCAGATACCTTGCTGGTCAAGACTCGAGTTTACGACATCGACGCAGTGTTATTGAATGACGATACCAATCTCGACATCTCTTCATTCTCGTTTTGTCATGCGCGTGTAATGATGACGGTGTCTGACGGTGTCTGACCTCGAGATGGTGATGGTATGGTTGTATGCGTGGTTACAGACTTTGGAGACACTCAAGCAGACAAGTTGGGAGTCATCACATCAAGAACCAGTCGTGAATATTGTAAGATCTATTAGGAGTATCGACTACATGCCTAAGATCTTATCTGCTCATCTCTCCCCAGCAAAGCTATCCAGTACGGACTAAATGCTTCGAACCCGTAATCCTATCCACATCTACCATGAATTATCGAGACGCCGAAAACCCGAACATTGAGAGCCAGCTTAGTATCGTAAAGCTGCTCGTGAGGTATCATACTGTTTGCGCAAAGAAAATCCATCCACACAGACCCATATCATGACGTTTCGAAGACGTGGCGCCGTCTATGATAACATGCACAAAGCGGGGAACAAAGAAAAAACATGAGAGGAAAACCAAACTCTGGAGATGCGAGTTTGGGTGCTGTAGGTGTCCGACGTTCCAGTGAAGGAGTCAGTCACCGGGGAAAGAGGTATCGTAGTAGGTAGCTGAGAAGTGGACATCGAATCGTGAAAACTTTTGGGTGCATGGGTCATGAAAGCCGTCCCGTGTCGTGAATGAAAACCGTTACCCGTGCGCCGTTCGCCGTTCAGAAAGATCATGCGACCATCGTAACTTGTTGCCTTTCGAGAGAATCGCGAACTGAATCCTACTCAGTGGCAACTAGAAAGAGGTTTAAGCATCTTCCTTGGTCTCCTCCTTGGGGGCCTCCTTCTCAGGCTCACCCTCTTTGTTCTTGACGTATTCGTCATAGACGCTCATGGCCTCGTCGACCTTGGCGCGGAGAGCAGACTCATCGGAGGTGCTAGGATAGTCAGTACGGAAGGTAGTGCGATGGAAAGTGGAGAACTTACAGGGTGATCAACTCGCTGTTGTCCATCTCGAGGAGCATACCGGTGATCTTGCCAGCGAGCTCGGGCTGCATCTCAGCGATCTTGGGGTAGAGAGCCTCACCGAGCATCTGCTTCTGCTGACCAGGAGGAGCGCCGCTCAGAGCACCCATGTCGACGCCAGCACCGGCGGGACCGCCACGGCCGCCCTGAGGGTAACCGGGCATGGGGGACTGACCGGATCGGCCGCCCTGGGGCATACCGCCGCGACCGCCTTGAGGAGGGAAGGCGCCCTGACCACCGCGCATGCCGGGAACACCAGCCATCGGGACCTGGGGCATACCGGGCATAGGAGCCATGGGGCCGCCACGACCGCCGCGTCCGCCCATAGCCTGCTGAGCAGCCTGAGCAAGCTGCATGTACTGCTGGTTCATGTACGCAGGAGGGAAGGCACCGGGAGCCATGCCGGGGGGCATGTACATGGGAGGCATCTGCTGGCCGTTGGGACCACCGCGACCGCCTTGCTGCCCGGGCATGCCGCCAGGGAAACCAGCGCCACGACCACCTTGCTGGCCTGGCATACCGGCGGGGAAGGGCATCTGACCACGGCCACCAGCGGGGAACATCATAGGCTGCTGGCCAGGTGCGATGAACATCTGAGGGATACCACCGAACTGCTGCTGCTGTTGCTGCTGCATGCGGAGCTGGTTGCGGGCCTGGATGGTAGCCTCGAGCTGGTTCTTGCGGACATCCTTGCGCTGGGCAAGAGCGACGTAGAGGGGCTTGCCCTCGATCATCTTCTGGTTCATCTCGGTGACAGCCTTGGTGGCCTCGTCGGGGTTGCTGAAGCAGACGAAGCCGAAGCCCTTGCTCTTACCAAGGATCTTCTTCTCACCCTTGATGGTGACCTTCTCGCCGCTGGCGTTCTCGTCCTTCTTCTCGTCAGAAGAGTCAGCCTTGGACTCATCCTTGGACTCCTCAGTCTTCTCAGCCTCCTTGGGCTCCTCCTTGGCCTCGTCCTTCTTCTCGTCGGATGGGCTCTCGGCGCGCTCAGCGGGCATGGCATCGCGCATGACCTTGGCGGAGGTGATGGTACCGAAAGGAGTGAACATGTCGCGCAGCTTCTCGTCGTCAACGTCGTCGTTGAGGTTCTTGATGTAGAGGTTGACACCCTGGTACTTGGACTGCTTCTCGAGACGAGCGGCCTCGTACTGCTTGCGGAGCTCCTCCTCGCGCTCGTGCTTCTTCTGGGCACGGCCGACGTAGAGCTTCTGGCCACGGAAGTCAACGTCGTTGAGCTTCTCGACGGCGTCAGAGGCGGCCTCGTGCTTGATGTAGTTGACGAAGCCGAACCCGCGGCTCTTGCCCTGGTCATCGCGCGCGATGGATGCAGAGGTGATGTCACCGTGCTTCTCGAAGAGCTCACGGAAGTCCTCGTCAGAGACATCGAGGTCGATGTTCTTGACGTAGATGTTGGTGAAGTTGGCCTTCATCTCCTCGAACTTGCTCATGCGCTCCTTCTTGGGGATGTGGTGGCCGACGAAGACCTTCTTCTCGTTGAGCAACATGCCGTTGA